CCATGCTGTCTAAAACTACTTTTTTTTTTTTTTTTTAATTTCCTTGGAACCATCTCCCCCAACAATGTCGTATGTAGTCAGAAGTAGCTTTGCCCTTACTGCTGCATATTTCTCAAATATCTTGATTTTTCATGGCTGCTTAGTGTTTAATTTATACTTTAATGGTCTTAAGCTTCCCGTTTAACTTGTCTGGAGACTTCACTATTGCAGAATTACTTTGTGTGGTTAGTAAGACTTGCGAGTGTCTTGGAAGGAAAACAACGTCTAGGAGTACCAAGGAAGGGAATTACAGAGCAGGGAGTAGAGTTGTAGGGAATACATTGCAAAGTAAGTGTTCAAAAGCTGTGCTGTTTTCAGAATGTGGCTGTCAGGCACGAGGGTAGGTCACAGAGGTTTACCTTGATGGCAGCACAAATAGCAGATCTACGTGTGAGGGGAGAATACACTCTAGGAAACAGTTAGTGTTTGTTTGTAACTGCTGTCTAAATGAACCATTTCTGACAAATACAGGCCAGGATCAGGGGAAGAATCTCTTCCAAGGTATTCTGGGACACTCAAGGAAACACAGCAAGGACACACAAGGTGACAGAGGAGAGGGGGGGGTCACCCAGGTTCAAACACGAAGCCATTAACCACAGAAACAGTGATTACAGTCCATATCTTACCTGAATTTGTGCATTTGATCTCATCTGCACTTCCACTTCATAAGCTTAGGATTTAAAATGCCTTTATTTGTTTTGTTCTGTGACTATTTGGGATAATATGATAACATTTCCTACCAGAAGGTGGTGGCAACAGCCAAACCCTGAATTTCCATCACTTAGCTTATTGTTTCAGTGGATTTCCTTATGGGGATTCAGCCTCTCTCTGACCTAAAGGTGCCTTTTTGTCACTTCGTTTGCTTTAAATGCTCCCTGTGCCCTTTGTGTCATTTGTCCAGCAAGGACCTTCCCAAGAACTGTGCAGCTCCTTATGCCGACAGCATTTTCTCACTCCTTTGGATGAGTTCTGGACCCTGGAAAAACGAATATCCCTGGGAGCATCAGTGTCAGGAGGGTGGCTGGTGTGTCTGTGACACGTTCAGTGCTCATTAGGCTGTGACTGCACTGGCGCTAATTAATGAGCACGAGAGCAGCAGGCCGGGTTCAGCCGATCTCGGCTCGGTTCGGCCAGACTCGGAGCCGCTCGCTGCATTCGGAGCTCAGCTCGGTTCGGTTCGACCGACTCCGTAATGTTCAGGTTGATTCGGCTGATCTCGTGTTGGTTCGGCTTATCTAGTTCGGTTGGGCTTATCTAGTTCGGTTCGGCTGAACGCGGTTCCGTCCCGTTCCGTTCAGTTCACCTCAGCTAAACTCGGATCGATTGGGCAAATCGCGGCCAGAGTCGGCCCTTCGGGTACGCTCGGCTGTTATCGGCCACACTCGGCTGTTGTCGGCTCCACTCGGCCACACTCAGCTCTTCGGCCGTACCTGACTCTGCTCCGCGGTGCAATGGCGGTCGGTGGCGGGGCCCCCCTCCCCGGCCTGAGCCCCGTGAGGGGACAGAGCGCTGGGACAGCCGCCTCAGCCCGGGTCACCCTGTCCCTGCCCGGCCCCGCGTCCCCCGGAGCACGCCCTGCAGCGCAGAACGCGGCCTTTGGGCCAGGAGCGGGGACAATGCCCTTGGCTCGGCAGCAGCGCCGGGAGGCAGCGGGCGGTGCCCTCAGGTGAGCGGCCGGAGGGGAGGGAGCTGGGCCGGGGGCACCGGGGCCGGGGCACCCACAGGGGGCCGGGGCTGCTTTGGGCGCTGCTGCGTGGGACCCGCTGTGGGTGGGACGGGTCTGTCCCGGGCCTTGCGGCTCTCTGGGATCGTGTTCCGTGGAATAAAGCTGGGGCTCGTCCCAGCTGCGGGGACAGCGTTTTATTGTGTGAGAAACAAAGTTCACTCTTTAGAATTTTTACAAGTTTGTTAAGGGATAAAAGGCAGCGCTGGAGTGCTTGGCTGTTTGCCAGGAGCACCCGGTTACCTTAAACTGTGTTCTCTATATTGTGTTACATTGCAGTGGTGTATGCATATTCATTAGAGTTTATACTTATTCAAACAGTCCTTTGAGTTTAGATGTTCTTTTGCTTGGTTTTAACCTTCATGCCATCTTGTGGATTAAACCAATATATTTTATTTCTTCCTGTGGTGCCATCCTGTTTTATTTTCACTCCCTCGTTATTTGATAACGAGGGTCAATAAGTTTTTCCTTTTTTTTTTTTCGGGGCTCTGATTTCTGTTTCTGTTATCTTGTGTTTCAGATAAGATTGTCCCCAAATGTGGGAAATCACCTAATTATCTGACACCTTTTCTGAGTTACTTGCATGTAATGCATTTTTACATTTCACAGTCTCTATTATGCTGCAGTCTAAAATAGTATCTATTACACAGCTATTTATAAAAGCTATGCAGTGCATACATGAACTGACAGATTATACTTTATCAAGAGCAGTAGTTACAGATACTGCTCTCTCAGGATTTTTGTGGTCAATAATACTGTGCCAGAGCTAATAGATAAATGGCAAAGGCAATAACTGCATTTGTTATTTATATTTCTGGGGTGGGCTGAGCTCTGTTTTCCGGGAAGCAGCGGGATGGGTGTCCCTGTGCCCACCCCCCTGGGTCCCAGAGAGAAGCTGCTCCTGTGGCTGCAGCTGAGGGGCAGTGGGAAACCTGAACAGTCCTGATGGAAACCGATGCAAAACCAGGTTTTGTTGGGTTTTGGACTTGCCATTTTCCCCTGATCCCTGTGTTTTGCCTTAGGAAACAGGAACTGGGCACCAAGACATTTTGTTACCCTAGAAGGGATGAGTTTGTTTGTATTTATTTCCTGAGCCACCTGGAACGATTTGGGTCTCAGTTGGCACCTGAGAGCCTCCTTCTGTGTCCTGGGTGGGGTGGTGGCTATCAAAGGGGTAAAAGTTGGAGCAGGAGGGTGGGTGGAGAGGAGAGCAGTGGCTCTTTGGGGATTTGCATCTGGAAAGGGCCCTCAGTTTCCTGATGGGAGCCCTGGAAACAGAGCTGAGAGTCCCTGAGCAATGAGGATGGTGCAGCTGGAGTGCTGAGAGTGCAGAGGCTGCAGTGGGTGTTGTCTGCTCGGTCTCCCGATGTCCCATCTCTGATGCTGGGCTGGCACCCAGGCACCTCCCAGGGCTGGACACCCTCAGGGCAGGGGTGGTTTTGAAATGTTTTAAATGCTGCAGCAGCTCCCTCAGATTGGATGAGTGTGAGGATATCCAGCTCTTCCTTAGGGCTTGGAGCATGGCAAGGGTGCAGGGCTCATGGTCAGTCTTGTTTAAACACTTGTAATAGCAAAATATTTTAAAACAGAGACTTTGAGGAAATAACATTGGTGAGTCTGTTGCAAGGATAGGTACAAGCTGTCTTTATTAAAGATCCACACTGCTGGATGTTTGGTCAAAGCACTCTGGGGACAGAAGGTGTCCCCAAAGCTTCATGAACCCCTTGTTTTCTGCTGGTAGGGCAGGGTGTGAGCCCAGCCTCGGGGGCTGTGTGGCTCATCCTGCCTGGAGCAGGGACACCCCGTGAGGCTGAGCCACAGAGGTTCAGTTGTTGGAGCAGGTGGGGATCTCTTTGTGCCTGGGAATTGTTGTTGCTGCGTTCCTGTCCCAGCTGCAGGGTTCCCTCAGAGCCTGTGCCCTGCAGCAGCACTGGGAGCTCCTGTGCTGGGCAGGGAGCAGCTCTGGCCTGGGGCTTTCAGTCCCATCAGCGTCCATTGAAATCCAGCGTTTGTTTTACTTCCATGGGCCTCTCTGCTGTGCCACCCTCGGTGCCAGGGGACAGAGCTGTGGGAAGGCTCCATCCCATCTGTGCCAAGTGCTGCCAGCGCTTCCAGCAGCACTGCTGGGGCATCAAGGGCTGCCTTTGGAGCCTGGCTTTCACAGAGGGTTACACACTCTGCCCTTCAGCATCCAGCTGCATCCTACAGCTGGATAGTTCAGCTAGCAGGGAGCAGAGTCAGCTCTTGGGCCCAAACCAGGTTTTGTCCCACAGAGAGCGACTGAGCTTCCTGAGGTAGCACACAGATGTGCACTGGCCTTTGGGGCTAATAGTGAGTGCTGCCAGGTGATTGTGATAAGGTTGAGCTGAAGCTTTCTTAGAAAAGCCATCAGCTGTAAGGAGAATCTATGGAAAACAGGTGGCTGGTGCACTAGCTGGTAGTAGGTCCTGGGCTTTTCTTCTTCTTCTCTTTAACCTGTTCTTAAGAGGACCCCAAAACTGCAAAATCGAAAGGAAGGGGGATGTGGGGGTGAAAGTTGCTTTTCATTTTTTGAAGTGTTGCTGTGGATTTTGGTGTGTCAAGTGGCACTACCAAAACAGCATTGGAATAACCAAACTTCAGGACGCTGCACTTAATTCCTTGAATGTGTTTGTGTGGGTGCAGGAAATGCCAAATCCCAAAGCAATTCCATGTCTGTAACTTCAAGTGCAACATCTTTAAAACCAAGTGCTCAGTGTGGGCTTTCCACGTGGATGCAAATGGTCAAAGGCCTTTCTTGTGTCCCAAAAGCAAAAAACCTTTCTCTGTGAGGTTTTGGAGGGGATTCTCTTTGGGATTTCTTGTGATGCAGCATCCTGGGTGTCCCTTCCTTTGTGCAAAGTCCAATGGTAAAGGATGGAATGGCTGACACCTGGGGTCTGGGATAAAAATGGTTCTGTTAAAATTGGGCAGAGAATGCAATAAGAAAAATGAGCATCCTTTCAATGTCTGAAATAGTCAGGAATAAAAGTGCTGGAAAAGGACACGTTTATGTTTGAATTGGTGTCACCTCTCATGGATAAAACCCCATGGTGAGCAATCAGAGCAGAAGTATGAGAGCTGGGATCCTTTGACTTCCACAGTGGATTTAATTTTCTTTTTCTCCTCTCTTTCAGGGCAGGAAAAATCATCAAACTCCTCCCATCTTTGCCAAAAGCTTTGCTGTTTAAGCAGCCAAAGGCAAGAGGCCTCAGCACCAGGGTCTGCACTGGAGGGCTCTGGTCCTGCCCATGCTGTGGGGTGAGTCAGAGGGACACAGGGCTCCTCTTTTCCTCTCTGCTGGGATTAACTGCCATGGGAATGCCATTGCTGACAGCCCAGCCCCAGCTGTGTCTGCTGGAGAAGGGCAGAGGTGAAGAGACAAATGCCAGAGTTCCCTGGGGATGCTGGAGTTGTGGTGTTGGCTGTGCCCTGAGGGGCAGGTTGGGCATTATCTGTGCACCCAAGGACTGCTCTGGGGGTTCGGGAGCTCTCAGTGCATTCCCAGCTCTGCCAGGGCTGGCAGCCGGTGCAGGGCTGGGTGACAGCCTCTGGTCGGGCTGGGGGCAGGCATGGCCCTGGCACAGATGCAGGGGCAGGGCTGGGAGGATTTGGGAGCAATGGGAGGAGAATGAGGGATGGTGCTGGGCACAGGGGTCAGCCTGTGCTCGTGTCAGCACAGCCCTGCAGGGCCCTGGCATCTGGGAACAGCTCCAGCTCTCCTGGTGCCCAGGGATGGGCTCTGAGGGACTGGGTTTACCTGTGGCTTTCCAGGTCAGCAGGAACAAGGGCAATGTGGTGCCAGAGCTGTGGCCCATCAGGCTGTATTTCCCTCTGGGAAAGCAGAACAGTCCTGGGCTGAGGTGAGTTTCCTGCAAGTGCTTAGAATCCAGGGGAAGGGGAGTTCAGGAATTGCATCTGCTGCTGGGAACAATGCCTTAGGCTTGCTTAGTTTGTGTCTGTGAGAAGTGGGCTTTGGGCTGGAGAGGTGCTGTTGGCAACAAAAGATGGAGTCAGTCCTCTCCAGGGATGTGCAGTGAAGGACTGAGTGGGAGGGAAGGGGAGTATTTAGAGATGATATCAGCATTTCTCCCAACATTGGGGTGGAGCAGTGATGGGGGTGGTTGGGTTTTGTCTGGGCCTTGTTATTCCTTGTGCCATTTTTCAATTCTGTTGCATGATTTACTGTTCAGTGTCTTTCTAACAAAAAGTGACAGAAATTTAGGTTTAGGATTAGAACTTAGGTCCATTCACTGCAAAATCTTGCCAAGGCTGGAGGACTGGGATGATGGCTGCTCTCAGCAAAGGTCACTTATTAATGCTGTGTCAGATTTCCCTCAGTGCTGGGCAGGAAAGGTGAGGGTTTGGATCAGGAATTCTGCAAACAAGGCCTGGGTGATGGTTGATTTGTTTTGTTTTTCAGTGAGCCAGGGCTGGCACAGGGAATCGTGCAGGTACTGGTCTGGCACCGGAGCTGCTGCCCTTTGGAGCCATTTTAAGGGTATGATCATAGAACATTTTGGGGGCTGTTTTCAGAACTCTGGGTTTCAGAACTCCTGTCCCCAGCCCATTGCTAACCCTGGGACATCTGCTCTGGTTTCAGGCTGTCCTTGCTGGAGCAGCCTGGTCCCTGCCGTCCCCAAGCCCTGAGACACAGAGGGAGCCCTGTCCCAAGTGGCCTTTGGCACCTTGTCAGGAATGTGGCAGCAGCCCCGGGAGCAGGCTGGAGGTGAGAACTGGGTGTTTGAAACTGAGGAGTGCTTATCTGGGGCTGGGGGGAAGGGGGAGGAGTTTCCATCCCCCCTGGAGCTTTCCTGCTGGGATGGGGCAGCACAGGGAGCAGAATTAATTGTGCACCTCCCATGGGCATTGCTGGCCTTGGTGTCTGTGTTGTGCCATCAGACCGTGGCACTTTGCTGCTGTCACTGCCACTGCCAGCCCAGCTGGGGGCTGTGCCCTCCTGCCAGCCCCACACAGGAGCTCCAGGGGTGCCTCTGTGCTCTGTTGGGAGTGTTTGCTGGGAATGTGCCTCATCCCTGGGAGTGTCCCTTTGTCCCTGGGCTGCCAGACAGAGCTTTGGGCTGCTCAGGCTCAGGGTTGGATTGCCAAAGGCACTGAGAGGGAGCAGCACAGGGAGGGTGCTCAGAGAGGGGCTGGCAGAGCCCAGCTGGCAGGCCGTGCTGGGTGCTGCAGGTGGGTGGGTGTGCACTGCAGGGAGCAAATGTCCCCTTCCCTAACCAGCCCTGCAGATCCCAAGGGCTCCTAGAGCAGGATTTTATCCCTTACTTCCCTTTGTGAAAATTCATTCTCCAAATTGCCATGAGCAATTCTTGGATTTCTCTAGGAGAAAACCTCCCAGCAGAGACAGATTGCAGTGGAGGCCAGAGTTGTGTTTGGAGCAGGGAGTGCTGAGAGCTGCGTCTGCCTGTGCTGCCACAGCCTGACCACAGCCACATGGAACAGCCTGGGAAAAGGGACTGGGGGAATTGCTGATGCCCCAGTGAGAAGAACACAAACTCACAGCCATTCAGCCTGACAGTCCCCTCCACCCAGAGCTCAGCACACATCCGCAGAGGTAAGTCCAGCAGCTGAAGGAGAAAAAAACCACAGAAGAAAAAGGTGTTTTATTTTGCTCTAAAGTTATTTTAAGTTGTTATTAAAGCCTAACCAACATTTGCTCTTGATTTTGGTTGGGTGAATAACAAGCAGTGGGTATAGATGATGCCATTCATTTAGCTGAAAACCTGGTATAATCTAGAGGGGATACAAGAACTGTTTGTGTAGGAAAATGTGAGGGGATGTCAGGGGGAGTGAGGTGGCATTTTTGAGGGAATTGCTGAGGTAATTGAAGGGAGACCAGCAGACAATTTCCCTGGGAAATCCAAGGCCCCTCAGGCCCACAGCCAGGACTCTCCAGGGCTAAGGGGTCAGCACTGGAGACTCACTGTGTCCTCCTTCCTTGGCAGCAGCCAGCAGGGAAGGGAGAAGAGGATCCCTGTGGGATGAGGCTGGAGAGAGCAAGCAGAGGAGCAGCCTCGGGCTGGAGAAAGGCAAAGGGACCAACATGGTGTCACCAGGGCACCTGTGAGGAACAGAATGGACACTTGGAGGCCCCATGGAGGTGAGGAGTGGATGGTTTGGGGCAAAATGGGAGTTAATCTCCAGAGAGATAAATAGGGGATATTTAGGAGGGAAAAGCTGAGGTGATGAGTTCACCCAGCCTGGCACAAGGTGTGTTTGCACAGGCTGGGGCCAGAGGTGAAGGTCAATCCAAAGCCAGCCCTGCTCAGCCTCTAAATCTCAGGATAAGTTGTACAGGCTACCCACTGAGGGATTAAAAATACATAAAAATGAAACCAAGAGCATTAATGAGATTCCTGGGAATCCCATTAACTTGTTATCAGAACTCCTAACACAGTTTTGAGCTTTGATGACAAGAATGCATTTCTTTATTTGGATTATTCACTGTGTGGGATATGGAGTTTATTTGGATTTTAAAGCCCTCATGGTGGCCCTGACACTGCTCAGGAGCTGGTAGGAAAAGCAGAGTCAGAGCTCCTGGCAGGCACAGGGTGTTTTCCCCCATAGTGGATTGTGGAGGAATTGTCTGGGACCTGGATTGTCCCTCTGGCTGATGCCACTTGCTGTGGTTTGTATAATTCCATACATTTAATTCCCAAAACTTCCCAGCCCAGGGGTGTGAGCTGACAGGGCAGGACAAAGATTGTTCTCTGTGTGGTGCCCAGATTTGGGGTTCCCTGTCAGCTGTGCTAGATCTGATGAATTATACCCATAGCCCCAGCTTCCCTGCTCCATTCCCACTGCAGTAACCCCACAGTGCCCCATGGAGTGTGGGTATTCCCATGCAGAGCTGCTGCCTTGGACAGCAGCTGTGTCAGGAGCCAGCAGAGCTTCCAAGGAGGCTCAGCAGCACAGGGACAAGGACAGGGTTCTATTCCATAGAACTGGCTATTTAGAACCCTCACCCCAATGGTGTCCCTGGGCTCACTGGACAGAGCTGCCTGGAATGGAGCTGATTTCACCCCCCTGAGCTCCAGGATGGAGAAGATGCAGTTGGTGTTTTAAAGCAGGAGAAGGCAGTGGCCAGATGTGCTCCCAGCCTGTGCTGAGGCAGCCCCTGTGCCCAGGTGGGGACATCTCTCCCTGCAGAAGCTCAGCTCCTTTCAGAGCCTCAGCAGTGGCCTCTACAAATTCTTTTCTCTCAGGAAAGGGATGTGCATCTCTGTCTTCAGCACACTCCAGTGGGACCTACCTGTGAAAGCTTTCCATGACATCTGCACTTCCAGCTGGATCCCTGGAAAACTCCAAACTCCATCCCACTGATTTTCAGGTATCTCTGAGGGCTACTGCCTGGGATTTAATATCTGTGGGGGAAGACTGCCTTGGCTTTAATGCTGCTGATGGATGATGGCCTCAGGCTGGGGAGGAGGGAAGGGATTTGGGGTGGCTGGGACATAGCTGGCAGCTGTGTGGGAGCTCTGAACCAGGAATTGCTGTGTGAGCCTCTCTGCAAATGGTCTGTGCCTCCATTCCCAGTAATGCCAGCTGCTCCTTGGAGTCCTTCTGGGCTATTGGTGGTCTCTGTCCAGGCTGAAGCATTTCCATGTGCCTGGTCAGAGCAGCCCCTGGCCAAGGAGCCACGGTGCAGGCACAGCTCCTCCCCTGCAGATCCCAAAGACACGAGGTGCTGCTTGCCTTTCAGGAGCTTCTGGCCTCCTCCTGCCCTGCGCTCCCAGCCAGCTGGGACACACTGAGGGAACACCAAGGAGCATCGCTGGCAGCAAGCAGGAGAGACACCAAGGCCTCTGGGCCAGAAAAACAGCCCTGGCCTCAGCAGCCAGCATCATTTTGACCTGGCAACACTCACCTGCAGGAAACGCCCCCTGCCACAGAGCAAGGTGACCCTCAGGAGTTGTCTTGTTCCTGGGGAAACAAAGGGACATTGTGTGAGCACATTTACAGCTGCTGGGTAAATCCTGGAAAGGGCAGAAAAAGCAGGGTTGTGGGGAAGAGTTTGGTGCTGACATGTTGAGTGCCAGCCAGTTCTGCCCTACAGCCATTGCAGGGGCTGGTGTGTAAAGCAGCATTAGCAGAAGGGAAGGAGCTGTATTTGTAGAGGAGTTCTCTTACTGGCAGCAGTCATTCCCATCCCTCACAAGACCTTTGGAACAACCCTGGGATTGGCTCAGGTGTTTGGAGCAGGGTGCTGAGAAGGCCAGAATTCCGTGTTCCATGTGCAGCTGGGCAGTCATTTCTCAGCATTTGATTTGATGATCCTCACAGCTTTGGAAATAAAGAACAAATAGTTTTCACTGTTTTTTTAACACATGGGGTTTTTCCCTTGTGTTTCCTCGGGGCTCCAGTCCCACACCAGGCACAATCGGAGCAGGAGCAGCAACACCTCCACCTCGGCCCCAGCGGCCGTCCCAGAGCGGCTGCTCCCAGCCGGGGCACTGCAGCCCCCGGGGGTGCGGACACGGAGCAGGGGCTGCAGGCGCTGTGGCTCGTAGGGGAGCGCGGTGCTCCTGGCGTTACCGGGCCGGGGGGGCTGCGGGGCGGCGCCAGCCGCGATCCAGAGGCTGCTCCTGGGAAGCATCTACTTCCTGGTGGGCATGGTAGTGGCACAGCACCGGCTCCCTACTGCCGCAGCCAGAGCGGCAGCGCCTGTCCCAGAGTGGCTCTTCCCGCGGCGATGCCGGTTCTGATCCCAGCCCCAATGCCACCTCGATCCTCCAGCCCCGACACCTGTACCCGGCTCACCGAGAAAGAAGCGGCTCGGCCTGGCTTCCACAGGAAATACCGGCAGGACCAGGACCCGAATCCCCGGGCCCAGATGCCGGTCCCACCTGAGCGCCTTGGACCCCGTGCAGCACCAGCAGGAGCCCCCGATCCGGATCCCCGTACAGCGCTCCGACTAACACTCCCGCTGCATGCCGAGATGAGCATTCCCTGCAGAAAGCGGGATAGGCGCGGATCCGCCGGGATTTATGGGCGGGCGGGGGGCGGGGGGGAGGCAGAGCCCCGGGGGCGGGGCCGGCACAGGTGTGAGAGACCCCAGTGCGGCTGCGCGTGCCGGGACCTGGGGGGATTTAAGGCGCGGGGAGGGCCCGGCGGAGCCATTTGATCTTGTAGGGGGTCATGGGCTGGAGGGGGTTAGGACGGGCTCTCTCCGGGGGAGGAGGGGGTGCCTGGGGGCTAACTCCCCCCGGACGGCGGGTGGTGGGAGGTGACAGGACTCCAGGGGATGGCCATGTATATGTGGCAATTTTTTTTTATTTTTTAATGTGTATTCACGCTGCAGAGTGACGTACTCGCCTCTGTTTCCCCCCCACCCGCCACACCCCCCGCTGCCCCACCCCCCCCTCCCTCCGGGCCCCGGTCCGGAGGAGGGAGTCCCCGGGAGGGGGCAGGGGCGGGACCCTGTCCAGAGAAGGTGTCCAGGGGAGCGGGCGGGGCCTGGAGGGGGAGTTACCCTCCCAGTCACCGCCCCCTTCCCCGGACCCCCTCCGGAGGAGGGGGGCCCCCATCTCAGAATCCCCCCCAGTGTGATATTGGGAAAGCCGGAGCCCCGGCGGTGTGGGGCGGTGTGTTGGACTGCAACGGGGGCACCCCAGCGAGGGCGGGGGCGCCGGGCTCCGGCCCTCAGGGCTTTATTATTGCCCGGCACCCCGAGCCCCGCGGCTGCGAGGAAAGGAGTGGGGGGGGGACGGGGAGACAGGAGAGATAGGGGTGGTGAGGACGGGGAGGGAGAGGGGTCGGAGTGAAGAGGGAAGCGGGAGAGGAAGAGAAACGCCGGGGGGGAGAAGAGGGACGGTGGAGAGAGGAGGAATAGAAGGGAGTAGCGGGGAAGGGACACAACGGGAACGAGTAGGGGGGGTCGGGTTTGGGAGGACAGGAAAGGAGCGTTTCAGGGGGAGAGGGAAGGGGGAGAAAGAGAGGGAATACGCGAAGAAGGAAGGAGGGGTAGAGAGAGGGACTGAAGGGGAGGTCGAAGCCTCCGCGCCTTACCTGCAAAGCCCGCATAGTGAGCTCCCGTCCCCACCGTGCTCTGAGTGAGCAAATGGCGGCCGAGGGAATTTCCGGGGTCTAAATCACCTCGGCCCCGCCCCGCGCAGCCGCCCTGGGGCCCCGCGCACCTGAGCCACGCCCGCCCTGCACACCTGAGCTGGTACCGCCCGTTACCGCCCGGTCCCACCCCCTTCACCGCCCGGCTCCCCCCTAGCACCGCCCCGTGTTCTGTCAGGTCCCGCCCCTGGTACCGCCCCTGTGCCCTCCGGCCCCGCCCCCCGCACCGCTGTCCCGCGGCCACGCGGGGGCGCTGCGCTCGCACCGCGCTCCGTGTCCGCCAGAGGGCGCCCTGCGGGGTCCCAGCCTCACACGGCGGCTCCGCACCGGGGAACGGCCGCGATCCCGCACCCGGCAGCGCCCCGTGCCCGCGGCCATCCCGGGCCCGTAAACGATCCCGGGCCCGCTGCCGCTTCGATCCGCCCGACGGGGGAGAGGCGGCACCGCCCGGCACACCCCAGCGGCGCTCTGTCCCCCACCCCCGGCCACGGTGGCACCGTCGCAGCGCCGCGTTCCCGCTCTCCGTGGCCCCGCCCCTCGCACCTGTGCCGGCCCCGCCCCCCTGTTCCCCCGGTCCCGGAGTCATCGCTCGGGAGCCTCGCTCGGCGCTGTGCGAGCCCCGTCCGACGGCTGCTCCCGCCGGGGACCGCTCGGAGCCCGGGGCGCTGCGGCGGGGCGTGACCGTGGCCCGGGGTGCGGGGGCCTAGCGCTGCCTGGGTCTGCCCCGGGTCTCGGGCGGTGTCGCCTCTCCCCCGTCGGCATCGGGACCGGGATCGGTATGGGGCGGGAGGAGCCGCTCCGGGCCCGACGTTGGGACCGAGTCTGACACCGCCGCTCCCGCCCCGGAGGAGCGGCGGGGAACCGGGCGGGACAGCGGTGGCCGCTCCCCGGTGCAGACGCGGAACCGCGGCCAGGACCGGGCCCGGCGCGGGGGCTCCGACCGGCACCATGTGCTCGGGGGGCGGCCCGGCCTGTGGGCGCCGCCTCCCAGCTGCCCCGGCCGTGACATGAAAGTTTGATAAGGAAGAGTTAATCCAGGAGAGGAGGCCATTCCATGAGTCCCTAATTATTTATTTTCAGCTTTCACACATAAATAATCAAGAACAGAATGTGGTTATCTCCTGCATCAGCAGGATTTGGTCCCGAGCTGCAGCTCACTGTCAGTGCAGATCCCTGGGAGAAAAACCCGGGTTCTTCCATAAAAACGAGCTCTGTCTTCGTCCCAGGGGTGTGGTCTGAAAGGGAACATCTGGCCGCAGGGGGAGTGCAGGGTGCGTGGGGAGGCTGGGTGGATTTGGTGGCCAGGGGTCTGTCCTGGTTTAGGGAAAATTTGAGAGAGAATCTCCAAAAAGGGACCCCTCCAGACAGCAAACCCACACGGCCCCTCCCCCCAACGGTTCAGGAAGAATTCCTCAGAGAGAAGTGGAAAGAACCTGTTTATTTAACAGGCACAGCGCCCCCCAGCACACAAAATGAACAATACTGGGTGACACCACTCTTTCACCGCTCTGAAAAAAGATGAAAAATTCAGAAAGTCTTTCTTGGGGGTGGTCACTTTGTTGCTGCTGCAGGCCACAAGGTGCAAACTCTTGGTGTTCCCAGGTCCCAGTCCAGAGCAGGTTCAAGTAGGTCCAAAAAAAGGAAAGGAGAAACAGTCCAGGGACTGTTTGGACTGTTCAGCTAAACTAGCTAATGAGCAGAAGCAAGAGCAAGAGCAAAGCAAAAAGCAAAAGCAAAAAAGCAAAAGCAGCACCATATACTGCCCTGTCTCGGTGTCTCGCCAGCCGTGGGGGAGCAGCTGATAAGAAACCAAAACAAAATTTGCACCCTTCTGTGGCCGTGTTCACAGGGGTTCTTGGATGAGGGAAGAGACGAGAATGTTGAGTCCATGATCAGAAGGCTTGATTTATTATTTTATGATATACATATATATATACTACATTATAACTATACTAAAAAGAAAAGAAAGGAAAAGGTTTTCTCAGAACCTTGCTAAGCTAAGACTAGAATAGAATGATAACAAAGGCAGCTCTCTCAGACTCTGTCCAAGATAGCTCTGTCTTGATTGGCCATTAATTATACATCCAAGAGGGGCCAATCACAGGTGGACCTGTTGCATTCCACAGCAGCAGATAATAATTGTTTACATTTGTTGCTGAAACTTGTCAGCTTCAGCAGGAAAATCCTAAAGAAAAGATTTTCACAAAAAGATGTCTGCGACACCCTTCAGAGCCAGTCTTGAAGGCACAGAACAGGATATCCAGCACAAACAGAACACACGGATGGGGATACAAGCATCATAACGTCACCCTAGGACAGGGTCTCACTGCAGCAGTTGGATCTCCATCCTTCCCTCTTTGCTTCCCTCTCATCAATTGCACAGGCAGGACTAGTGAGGATCACTTCAGCTGGATCTTCTCCTCTTCCTCAGCTTCTCTTAGGACCCTAGAAGATGATAAGATGCTGAATTTTCATTTTTCTAGGGACAAAGGGAAAGATGCACTGTAGGGAGAGCTCTACAACAGTCCCAGCAAAAGTCTGGGATGGGGCTGCAAAGCAGAGACCCCAACCCAGCAGTGGCAGGAGTGAAACCTGAGGTGCAGCCTGGAGCTGAGCTTCCAAGGATAACAACCGGCATTTCCCAGCAGCACCAGCGGGTTTGGGGTGCTGACATCCCAAAAAAAGTGTGTCTCCTTCCTCAGGATCAGATGGTATCCTAAGCACACAGGGCTTTCCACTCACGGGGTGCACGGAGTGCTTTTCCTCCTCTTGTTGTCGGTGTTGCCTCCCAGCATCCCTTACAGATCCCGAGGTTTCAGGGCCACCCATCCCTGTTTGTCCAAGTTAATGATTCAAACTGTCTGGATCTCTGAGGCCCTGGCAGCCAGGCCCCAGGGGGCAGGCCAAGGATGCTTGCCCTTTGGGGTTAATCATTCTCCCAGCTGCTGACCCTGCCTCCATAAAAACCCCAGGATGGGAGTCCTGGTGCCGCTTCCCGGCAGGAGGAGGAGAGCCAGCTCCAGCATGAGGGCAGCCCTGGCCCTGCTGTCGCTCTTGGCTGCTGCACAGGCCTTACACCGAGGTAAGGGAGGTGATCCCAGGGTTGTGCTGGCCCTGGGATGAGGGGCATGGAGATGGGCCTCAGTTCTGGAGGTTTTCAGTGGCCTCCCCTCTCCCAGCCTGCAGCCAAACCACTGAGCAGAACCAGAGAGGGAAGGGAAGGGCTGGGAGGATGGGTTGGGATCCAGGATGCCACTGTGGGGTGATGCTGGAGGAGGTGGGATGGAGAGAGGACAGAGCCACAGGGACTGGCATTTTCCTTTCTAAAGGAAAATAGGATTTCCTGACCCCCCTTGGGGAGCACCATTCCTGTGCAACACTCACCTCTTGGTGGGAACGATGCTCTGCCATCCGTTGCTGCCTTCTCAGCCCCCCAGGGAATCCCCCAGCTGCCAAAAACCACCTAAAACTTACCTCTCCCACATGGCTTTGTACAAGTGAACAGAAATGCCACAAGCTGAGACTGGGAGCCGATATTCCTGCTGGGAAAGAGACACAATTTTTCCATGGCTTCCCCTTTTCTGAAACCCCCTGCCTTCACCCTGTTCTTCCCTTGCCACCAGAGGGATGTGACCGTCAGAGTGATGGCCCAAAGCCCTGGGTTTTGGGGAGGTGACCCTGCCCCAGGCTGCAATCCCAGGGAACACCGGGGTCAGTGTTTACTCTGCTGCTGCCAAGGTCTGGCCCCACAGAGTCGGATGGGAATCGATCCTGTTTTTCCAGGGAGGACAGAACTGCTGGGAGTGTTTTCACTCCTGGCTGCCCCGTGGACCTGGCCCCAGATGGTTTCCCAGCCCTTATGGTTTCCAGACCCTGCCAGAAAATCCAACCCCACATATTCCATGCTCCAAACCTGCCATATAATTTACCTGTAGCTCTCCCAGCTCCAGAGAGGGTTTTCTCCCTGCCCCTTTCCCTGGCTGCAGAGCTGCAGCAGCCTGGACACCAGGGGTGCTTCTCCCAGGCTGGCTGTGACACCATCTCCCCAGGGACCACCTGGAAAAAGTGGTGGAAAAACTGGAAAAAGAAGTAATGGAGTGAAAAAAATGAACAGACCACAAGTGAATAAAGCAGCGTGTTCCGTGGTGACAGAGCATTCTTTGCTCCTTACTCACAATTCCTCCTTCTCCTGCACTTTCAGGGAAAGCTTATGTCCGGGAGAAGGTCTGCCAGGAGTACAAGATCCTGGGCAAGGAGAACTTCAGAACCCTGTAGGTACCTCCTGCTGCTGGTGCCCTTCCAGGAGCCTTGACACCTGAGCCAGGAACAGAAAACAGTAAACAAAAATCATGGAAAAAGGCAGATGGATTCAATTCATCAAAAAGGGGAGATGCAATTCAACCGCTGGTGTCTGATTGCTTTTAGCAGGAGAAAAGTTTGATTCCTTGTTGAATTCCTCAAAAAAACCAATTAAGCACCTAAATGATTAAGAATTCTCACAGAGCTCTCACACACAGTCCCCTGTAAGTGACAGCCCCCAGCCTGGTAGCTGTTCCAGTTCTTTCCTGGCTGTTTTCCAAGGAATATGCTGTGATTTCTCTCTGCACCACGGCCAGCACTGTTAAACCCATTTGAGCAGAACAGTCCTGTGAGGTGATTTCTGATTGAAGATAAAGGCTCACCTGGCTCTCCCTGTCTTTGCTGCCAGGACCATCATTTCCACCAGCCAGAAATATTCCAACGGCACCTTCCAGGAGATCGGCCACCTCGTCCGGGAAATCGTCTCCCTGGCCGAGACCTGCTGCGCCGATGGGGCCGACCCCTCCTGCTATGACGCAGGGGTGAGCCTGACCAAAAACATCCAAAAGACCCCAAAAATGGGTAATGGGCGATGGCACGGCGTGGCCATAACCTCCTGTCCCCCCTCCCGCAGTCCACGGCGCTGTCGGATAAATCCTGCGGGGCGGACTCGCCCTTCCCGGCGCACCCCGGCACGGCGCGGTGCTGCGGCCAGCAGGGGCTGGAGCGCAAGCTGTGCCTGGCCGCCCTGCGGCACCCGCCCCAGCCCCTGCCCCGCTTCCTGCAGCCCTCCGACAGAGAGCTCTGCCACGCCTTCCGCCTGGAGCCCCGGGAATTCGCCGACAGGTGAGCCAGGCTGCGCCCGGCTGGGTGCTGGCATCGGCCTGTGGCATGGGCTGACAGCCTGAGGGGATGCCTGGAGAGGGTTCCCATCCCTGAAGCACCTCAATGCCCCCAAACCCTACTTACACTCCCGATTCCCTGATCCTGAGGTGCTGGATCTCCTTATCCATCTCTGCCACAGGTTTCTTTATGAGTATGCCAGCAGCTACAGCCAGGCTCCCCTGCCTGTGCTCCTGGCCTCCACCACCACCTTCCTCTCCATGGTCTCCACCTGCTGCATCTCCCCCACACCCACTGCCTGCTTCCTGAAGGAGGTGAGACCCCCATCCTCACTGCCCGGGGAGCCAGGCAAACACTGTGCTAATTTCCACTTCCATCCTCTATTTGTGGCAGAAACTGGAGAGGAAAACCCTCTCCCTACTCACCCTGACGTCAAACCGGATCTGCTCCCGCTTCTCGGCCTATGGCAAGGACAAAGCCAGCTTCAGGTATGGAGGAAAATGGCCTCTCCATCCTGGGACAGGGCTCCTCTCTCCTGCTGCAGATCCTGTTGACAGGCAGCATTTAGGAAAACAAGCTTTAATTCTGCTGTGGATCCCTGCAGTTGCCCCGTGCACAGCACAGGCACAGAGCAATCCCTGCGCTCCCCATGCCCTGAGGGCCCTCCCTTACCCAGCTGATTCCTGGGAGGGGGATCCAAGCCCCCAGCCCCACTCACCCTGTGCTCCCCAGCTCCCTGGCCTTGCTGGCTCAGAAGATTCCCACTGCCTCCTTCGAGGAGCTGCTGCCCCTGGCTGAGGACGCTGCCGAGGTGGCTTCCCAGTGCTGTGACTCCATGGCTGAGGACTGCATGCAGAAGAAGGTAGGAGGGGCTGGAGCCCAGCCCAGAGCAGCTCCAGTAGGAGCTCAGGAGGCTGAGGGCACCTGCACAGGCCCTGCTCCCTCTCTGCAGCTCTTGGAGCACACGTCCAGAGTCTGCTCGGCACTGTCGGCGCAGGACAGGCGCTTTGCCGCCTGCTGCCAGGGGAAAAACCTGATGGAAAACCATTTCTGCATCCTGGCCATGCCCCCAGCCCCAGCTACCAGGCTGCCAGAGCCACCAGAGCCCACCAACAACGAGCTGTGTGCCAAGGAGGGGGCTCTCCACGCCACCAGGTGAGCGGGACCCATGGCAGCTAGGGGGCAGTCATGGAATAAAACCATTTAAGCTGGAAAAGATCCCTAAAATCACCGAGTCCAACCAGTTCCTGACCCTGTTCCCGTGCTTAGGTTATTATGGGGATAACCAGGGGAACATCCTCAATTCCCTCTGGGGAATTGAGTGCCATCAGGGGCTGCACAAAGATGCCAAAAACGAGCCCCATCCCAGTCTGAGCAGCAGCCACAATGAGAACTCACCTGAGCTCTCTTATTTCCCGCTCCAGGTTCCTGTTTGAGCTGGCCCGGAGGCATCCCAACCTCCCCGAGGCCGTCCTCGCCAAGCTCTACGACTCCTCTGGGAAACTCCGGGAGGAATGCTGCTCCTCCAAGGACCCCTCTGCCTGCTGGGACAGCAAGGTGAGTGGTGTGGGGGCTCATCCTGTTCCCCCTCATCCCAGTGCCCCCCAAATCCCATCCTGGTAACTCCTCCCCTCTGCCCCCAGCGCCAGCGGATCGCAGCGGAGCTGTTCCCCTTCCTGGCAAAGGCCGACCAGCTCTGCGGGCAGTACCACAAGCTGCCTTTCCTTGAGTTCAAGAAGAGGTGAGCCTTTCCCTTCCCCCCACAAAAAACCCACCTGGGTAGCTGGATGCAATCAGAATCCATCCATAATGCTGAGGATGCCAAACGGGGATGCACCAGGAGCCGCGTGGCTCCCGCTGTAACCGCGCTCCCCATCGCAGGCTGCGGGACAGTCTGGCCCAGCCCGAGCCCGAGCCCAGCCCGGCGCCGCTGGAGCAGCTCCTGGAGCAGCGAGCATCCTTCGCCTCCTCCTGCTGCCTGTCGGACGCTCCGCCGCTTCTCTGCGCTTCCAAGGTAGGGCCGGGCCCCTCCTGCCCCCCGCGGGGCCGCACCTGCTCCGGGGCTGCCCCTCGGCTCTTCCCTCCTTCCCCAGGTCACCTCGGAGCTGGGAGAGCTGTGCCAGGGGGATTCCTGCCTGCTGGGATAGGCTGCCGGCGCAGGGATCACTTCTCCAGGGATCGCGCACCGATGGAGCGGGGACACGAGGCGGAGCTCGGGAACACCGGGGACGTCCGAAGGGAGCATCGGGGAGCTGGGCTGGACGTCCGGCAGATGGGAGGTGTCACCGAGCCCACAGCTTGTGTTCCTGCAGCCAAAATAAAGACAAAAATGCCCTGCAGTGCGGCTGGAAAGGCTTGTGCACCCTCGGGGCCGTGGAGAGGGTGGGAGAGGGGCCCAGATTCACCTCCGAAGGCAGGAACAGGTCCCAGCCCTGATCCTGGGAGATAAAGCTCTAAAAAACTAAGGAAAACCAGGGAAAAGTCTCATCAAATGCCCCTAAAGACAGCAATCTGTGGCTATTGGGGTATCCAGCTACGTGGAAGCATCAGCACCCTGAGAGGGGCACCCTGGGCACCCCCAGCCCCCCACCTGCCGAGGTGAGCCCTCCCCAGCACAGGGGGGCGGATTTTGGGGGTGCTGCAGGCAAAAGGGCCCCGGGTTGGGATGCAGGAAGATGGCAAAGCCAGCCCAGGAAAGCAGGAAAATCCCCCGAGGCCAGATGTGGCAGCTTTGTGTGCAACAAAGGGAAAGACATGGGGACACCTGGTGTGCAGAGATGAGCCAGAGCGATAAAACAGAGCCAAACCCAGGAAGAACTCCCTGTTCAAGGCAGCTTGTCCCTTTTCTGGGGATCACTGGCAGTCCCTGGATCACTGATGAGTTGCCCTGGAATGTGAGAAACAAGATGGATTTGGCTGGCACCATCCCTGTCCATCTCCTGCCAGAGCCCCTCTTATCGTGGGGTACAGACCTGGACAGAAAGGAGAAACTGGTTTTAGTTTGGTTTTGGCTTTTACTTTTTTCCCCAAGGATCCCACTGGCCTGGGACTGGACCTGCTGATGCCAAGGCACTGGATCCACCCACCACCCTCATGTCACAGCCTACCTTTGGCATTTATTTTCCAAAATATTAATTGCCAATTGTTTCTAATTCTTTCCAATTAACAAGTTGGGTTTCACCTTGTTCTGTTGGGGTGGGTGACCCACACCTCATTGCTGTGCTCAGGTTTGCATCCTTCACATTCCAGATGGGCAGGGTAAGGGCTGACAATTCCAGTGACCCTCTGGGATTCCAAGGAAAACTGGGGAAATGCCATTAAGCCAGCCAAGGATATCTCTGCCAGGTGACACCATCACTGCTTATGGGGGGAAAAGCCACCCAAAAAAAACTCAGCTGCTGTTCAAAACAGCACAAATCATAACCCTCCTACCAAAACCATCAGATTTCCTTGGAAAGTTCAGGCTGCTCCTCCCTGATGCCAGCCAGCATCACCTCCCCAGGGATTCCATCCAGTCCTTGCCAGCCTGGGCATAAACCAGTTGGCTTTCCCAGTCTCTGTTCTAGCTGGGATTCTTATTTGGTTTTTTTTTTTTTTTTTTAATGGCAATTTTCCAACTCTCATTCCTCCTGCCCTTAGCCCAGTGACACAAGGTGGATTCACCTCCTGCCTTTTCATCCCACCACCTCTCTGACCCATTCCCAAAAATGTAAAGGAAGCAGCAAAGTTCCTGACTTGGTTGTGTGGGGTTTTTTTTTTTGTTTTAATTCCCAGCCTTAGTGCTCAGCACAACACCTCCTGTCCAGTCTGTCTGCTCCCCAGGAACTCATCAGGTTAAAGCAGGAATTCAGTGGCAATGCAGGAATTCCAGGGTGGCATCCAGGGAAGCATCACTTCACTACAACCAGAGAATGTGGGGCTGCCATGGGAAAAGTGAGGATTACCTAAAGCACTGGGAAAACCCAGCACTGAATAAAACAGCTCCAACATTTACCTGGCCAGGGCTCCATGAAGCATTATAAAAAACCCGAAAGTGTTTTATCCACCTCTGAGGCCTGCAGGGCTGCTGACTTCTCAGAGCCTGCTTTTCCCAGCCCATTTGGGCCTGCAGTATTCCAGCCATCAGCTTCAACCCCCAAAAAAACAGGCAGGAAAAAGTGTCATACCTCCTTTTCATTTTATTGGTCTCCCAGATTGTATACAGCACATTCCCAAAGCAGCAGCAACCATTTTTTCCTCTTGGCTTGGCTCCCCCCAGGCAGGCCCAGCAAAGCCTGAGGATAAAGAGCCTTTTATGGGGGGGGATGACCTCACAAGTGCTGCTGCCTCTCAGCTCACACCAGGGCTTCCAGCAGCTGTGTGGAATTGAGAATCCACCTCCCCAACCTGGACTCTGCTGAAGCAGGTGCTCAAAACAATGTCCCCTGGCACCTCAGGGCTATGCTCCTTGCCTGGGTACGGAGATGAGCCCTCCACAGCCCCGTGGCATCGTCTGGGCACCAACACCTCCCCAGGGACTGGCACCACTGGGGTGGTCACTGGGCCCCGGTTGGAGCGGGAGCTGCTCCTGTGCTGGGAATTGGGAGCTGCAGGGGCCCCGCGGCTCCACTGCATCCCCACCTCCAGTGGTACGGCCTGGGTGGCACCAGGGACACCCGGCCCCATCCCGGGATGCCGATGGATGGGGTGCCCCCGCAGATGCCCAAACCCACTGCCAGGGACACGGGCACCCCAGCGGGCACGCCGCGGTTGTGGCGCCCTCTCGTGGCCATTGCGAGCACTGCAGGAGGGCCGCCCCCGCCCCAGCTCAGTGTCGCCGTCTGGCGGTCACAGTGCGGCAGCGCAGCGCCCGGTGCCTGCCCGGGCAGGGTCCGGACCGCAGTTCCGGGCACCGCAGCCCGCAGCGCGGGGCTACGGGAGCCAACGGTCCCGGTTCACCCAGTTCTTCCCCTGTTCTCACCTGTTTTCCACTGGTTTTTCCCGGTTTCCCTCACCCACTCCCTCCCCTCTCCCGCCGGCTGTCGGGAACCGGGAGGACGCCGGGGGACGCTGAGCTTGGCTCGGTCCCTGCGGGGAGGCGCGGTGGCAATGGGAGCAGCTCCAGCACAGCCTCCAGGCCGCCCGGGACCGGACCCGAACCCGGCAGAGCCCCTTGGACCGGGAGCAGGACCGGGAGCGGGATCGGGAGCGGAGCCGAGCCCGGAATCGGGACGGAGGCGACGGCGTTGTGGCGCCCTCGCGTGGCCATTGCGGGCGCTGAAGGCGGGCGGCCCCCGCCCCAGCTCAGTGTCGCCGTCCGGCGGCCACAGTGCGGCAGCGCAGCCCCCGCACCCCAAGGACATCGGCGACACCACTGGGGACAACTTTCCGTCACCCCTTTATTCAAGCCGCCCACGCTTTAGCCCTCGCCCATGCAGCCAGCCGCTGCTGCCGTCCGGGACCCGCCCGCAGGTACCGGGAGCTCCTGCGGAGAGAGCAGAGCCCGTCGGTATTGTCACCCATCCCAATGCGGGGCTCCCGTCGCACCGGCTCGGTCGCCCCCCCGCTTCCCTGCACCTTCACGCGATGCCCGTTTCCCGCACATCTTCACTTCTGGAAGGTCCGTCCTTGTTTAGTGTTTCCATCTCTTCTGCCTTCCTCTTCCTACGCTGCCTCCGACAGTGGCTTGACGGGGGGGGGGGCATGGGGGGGGGGAAGTCATAAAAACCAACCAACCAAACAAAAAAGAGGCAGAAGGGGACATGGCAGTGATGCTCCTCCCTCTCCCTCGGCTTTTACCCTGCAGAAGATCCCCAGGGGATCACACCTGATTTCCAGCCCCAAAGGAATGTCTCAGGCACCTCCCAACACCTGCAGGACCATGTCCCACCAGCCTGGGACAGGCCCAGTTCAGCCAGCCCGAAGCCAGGGGAGTCGGGCAGGATTTACTCCCCCTTCCCTTTCCCTTTCCCTTCCCGACCCGTTCCCCCACGTACTGGCTGCAGAGGCAGATGCCAACAACGAGGATGATGAGGGCGGCGATGGCGACGATCAGGGAGATGATGACGATCTGGCCCTGGTCCCCTCGCAGGTAGAACAGATCCACTCTCTCGCAGCGAGCCCCGGTGTAGCCCCGCTCGCACCTGCCCGGGCACAGGGGAGGCACAGGGCGGTCCCAAAAGCTGCCGTGCTGCCCATGCCCCCCTCACGCCGCTTTCCCAGGGGAGACGGGCGCAGCATCCCGCGCCGTGTTGCCGTGTCCCCACCGCGGGTGACTTACACACAAGCGGGGGCCTGCTCGGCCACGAGGAAGCGGCACCTGCCCTTGACACAGTAGTGCTGGTACTCCTCCGGGCACCGCGAGAAGTGGCCCTGCCGCCGCGGCTGCGTGCCGTTCCCTGCGGTGACAAGGACGGAGAGTGGCCCCAGAGGGATGACAGCTCTGCCCAGAGACAGCAGCGCCCCTGAGCCGCCGCATCCCCGCGGGAGCTCCGAGCCCGCCCGGCTGCAGCCAGCGGGGGTGGCACGGGTGTCCTTGGCACAGCGATGCCACACGGCTACGCTAGACACAACATCTGCTCATCCGCCATCCTGGCCCTCTCTCCCGCTCCCTTACCTGTGCATGCCTTGTCTGTGCCGCAGCTGAGCCCCTCCGTGCCGTGCCCGGCCGTGACGTTGGTATCGGCGCCCACGCAGCTGAAGAGCGCCAGGCCTGGAGGGCAGCGGAGGCAGCTCAGAGGGGAACCCCCAGCAGCCCCCAGCACTCCCAGAGCCACAGAGGGGGCGCTGGCAGCGGGTTCTGCAGCTGGGCTGGCGGCATCAGCTTTTCCCCAGGGCCGGGAGAAGGGAGAGCCGCTCCCCGCCCGCTGCCTCCACCCAGCAACGCCCGGCACGGAGCTCTGCGAGCCAGCCTGGTGGGTTTTGGACCACACAGCCCGGCCAGCTGCTGCTCTGCCCGGGGAGGATGCAGGGAGGCATCCCCAGGGAGATCCGGACTCATGGAATCACTGATGGATTTGGGCCGGAAGGGGCTGTAAAGTTCATCCAACCCTGCTGCCACGGGCAGGGACACCTTCCACTAGCCCAGGTTGCTCCAAGCCCTGTCCAACCTGCCTTTGGACACTTCCAGGGATGGAGCAGCCGCAGCTTCCCTGGGCAACCTGTGCCAGGGCTCCCCACCCTCCCAGGGAAGAATTCCTTCCCAGTATCTAATCTAAACCTGCCCTTTGTCAGTGCGGAGCCCTTCCCCTTTGTCCTGTCGCTCCGTGCCCTTGTCACAAGTCCCTCTGCAGCTCTCTTGGCGCCCCTTTAGGCACCGCGAGGTGCTCCGAGGTCTGCCCGGAGCCCTGCCCAGCCTGGGCAAGGGGAAAGGGGGGGAAAGGGGCCACCCCGCTCTCCCCGTGGCCCCGCGGGTGAAACCGAGCCGGGCGCGTCAGAGCGGCGGTAACCGGATCGCTGGCATACCAGCCCTGACTCAGCACGGCCCCGCTCCCGCCCGGCCCTCCCCGGGGATTCACCGGCCGAGGCGGCACCCAGGGAGCGGGGACAGGTCCTGCCTGACCGACAGGGCCCGGGTGGCTCCCGCGGAGGTGGCTCCCGAAGAGGGGCTGTGCCATCCCGCGTAGGGGCACTTGGAGGCTTCCCAGGGAGCGGAGAGTTTGCACAGCCAAATCCTGGCAGCCTGGTCTCCCGCTCCCTGTTTCCTCATCTGGCACCTTGGCAACAGCGGTGGGAGCTGCCCCGAGCCTCCGGGTCCCCCCCGTCCCCCAGCGGGGACATTCCCGGCGCACACGTCCCTCCTGGCTATATATAGCCAGCATCGCGCTGCGGGTGTCAGCGCCCCGAGAGAGCCCGGCGGGGGGAAAGGGAGCCCACCGCCCCACCCAGAGGGTGGGAGCTGCCTGTCCAGAGCCAGGGATGAGCCATGGGGCGGCTGCAGCCCGGGATGCAGCTGTGGGCGGCGTGGGCACAGCCGGGACAGGCAGGGAGGGAGGCAGGGAGGGAGGCTGACTTCACTCGCGGTGACCGAGTTCACAGCTCGACATGGAAAGATCCCCACCAAGCCGAGCTCCCCACCCTTATTGCATCCAGATGCGGAGTTCTGGCACCCTCCGGGCTGGCAGCCCCTCGGCAGGGCCGCCCTGGCGGCAGTGCCAGCCCCGGGGGAGGGGGCTGTGCCCACCCACGGCCGCACCGCGGCACCCGGAGGCTGCAGGTGTCAGCACCCTCAGCTCCCTGATGCCCTGGCTGCGCTATCTCGGGCTGCACCCTCTCCTGAACAGGCAGAGATAACCCAGGGAAGCATCCCAAACACTGGATTGTTTTGCTGTTGCCACCCCCACGCTCTCCCGGGAAAGCCCAGACCGTAGGGGAGCAGCCAGCCAGGACGGGGCCGTGCTCTGAGGGGACACACCGGCCCCAAACCAGGTCGGCTACCCTCGGCTTCCTCCTGCCAACACAGGTTTGGCAGGTTTGGCCAAGTGCTGTGGCACCAGCCCTGCCAAAGGGCCAAACCCAAGCTGCTCCCTGGGAAGAGAAAAGTTCCCCCGAAATCCCAGTGCCGGGGAGGATTCCCTGCCAGGGAGTGTCCCAGCTCCCAAGCCTGGCTGTGGTTATTTCCTCGCAGCCATCAGCACACACCTGTCTGCAGCTGCCTGCTTCCCAAAAACTTAGGAACTAACACGGGAATTTAATGCTCACACACTCGTTGAAGAGGTACTGCCCCCCTGCCCCGGCATCCCACATTCCCAGCGCTGCCAAGGATGGCCGCGGGACACCCATCAGCAGTGTCCCTTCAACAGGTAGCAAAAGCATCCCGGTCCTGCTCCAGGATCCAGCCAGGACATCCTGGCCCCCACGCTGGCCCCAAGGGATTCAGGGATTCAGAGGCAGCAGGGGAGCAATGGATTGGAACGGTGGGGAGATCCAGGATGGGACCTGGGGGCACAGGGGGAGGCCAGGAACAGGGCTGGGCATAGAGGAAGGGCTGGCATGAATGGGATTGTCCAGGGGGGCACATGGAGCCACTGGGATGGGACAGGGCCAGCACCAGGATGGGATGTAAGAGGGGGGAACACAAGGGTGTAGCAGAAAGGGACCCGGGGAGCAGCAGGATGGGATGGGGGAGCACCAGGACAGGCGGGGGGAGCACCGGGATGGCACCGGGAGGCAGGTGCAGGATCATCAGTCTGGGAGCGGGAAGCAGCGGCACCAGAGAGAGACGGTGCCGGGACAGGGTGTGACACCGTGCAGGGGCGGGAAGCACCGGGCCGGGACGGGCAGGAACAGCCTGCCAGCCGCTGGGTATCCCGGGGCGGGCAGGTGGCGGGGCAGGGGGACGCCCGTGCTTACCGGAGGCGAGGGCCAGGCAGAGCAGCAGGGTACCGGGGCCGCCGCCCGGGGCCGGGGCCGCCGCCGCCTCCATGCGCGCCGCCGCCGCCTGCCCGGTGCCCGGTGCCCGGCAGCTGCGGCGGGGCGGGACGGGGGCGGCCGCTCGGGCACCGCCGCCCTCCTCCTCCTCCTCCTCCTCCTCCTCCTCCTGCTGCGCCTCCTCCTCCAGCTGCGCGGCTCCCAGCCCGCCGGAGCCATCCCTCGGCGGTGCCGGTGTCCCCTCCCGGGTGTCCCCTCCCGGGTGTCGCACCCACGCGCGTCCCACCTCGTCCTGCCAGGAGGCGTCAAGCAGATGCCTCGCCACGGATCCCTGGGGATTTGGGCAGCCGGAGGGATCCCCCATCCTGCCACGGCTTCCAGGCAGGGCTCTGGGCATCCCCTCTCCAGGGAGACAGAGCGTCCCAGTCCAGCCTCGCCTCCCCAGAGCATTTATCCATGGCCAGCTTGCTGTAGCAAGGTGGATTAATTCACAGCGAGCGGCTGTAAAACACCCTCCCAGGGGCCCTGGCAGGCAAGGACAGCAACACGAATTATTCTGCAAGGGGCTGTGCCTTCGCAAAATACACTTCGCGGTGTAATTTTTCCCTCGGGGTGTGCTGGGAGGGTATTCCCGCTCCCCCGACTGACATCCTGGGGAACAGAAGAGACCCACAGGGGTGAAGGTGTCCCCCGGGTGCCGGCGTGTCCCCTGCTGCCCTCCAGGGCTGCTCGGCAGGGATGCTCCGGCGCTGTCCCGGCTCCCAGCAGGGCTCAGGGGCTCTCCCGGCAGAGAGGGGCGCGGGCAGGGAGCGGCCGCGGAGCCCCCGGGCGCCGATGGAGGTGGAAATGAAAGACTGGAAAGAACGGGTGACCTCAAACCGCAAGCTGGCAGCTATTAATGTGAGTGCTGGCAGCCACCCAGCCATGCCATTTGGCCGCTGACCAGCGGGTGAGCAAGCTCCCCTAGCCCTGGCCAGCCAAAAATTCCTGCTGCAGGCTCCGGCACACCGGGACCGCCGGCCCCTCGGCTCACGGCCACGCCGGCTCCCTGCCAGCGCCCCCCAAAAACAGGCAAAGCGTCATAAACCGCCAGGATGGTGCAAAAGCTCTGCTGGGGGCTAGGGCAAGACCAGCAAAACTGGCAGCTGGCAGCAGGATGTGGCACAGGATCATCCAAGAGGAGCTAGCTTCATCCCAGTGGGGTGGGCAAAGCCAGGGAGCAGGCAAAAAAAAAAAATTAAAAAATCCTCATGCCCATTAAAAGAAAAATTTCCCTCCAGCATCCTTCATATCTGGATAAAACTGGTGGGGGAAAGGCATTTTAAAGGGATTTTAAAGGGCTGGAGCCTCAGGGAAGATGGTACCAGCAGCAATGGGAAAGAGATGGCCAAAGTTATCCCCAAAAAAGGATCTCTCCCTGCTCCCGGGAGGCCGTGCCGGGAGGAGCAGGCCGAGGTGACCAGCAGGTGGCAGCTGGAGCCCAGGGCTGGTGGCCCTCGGGGCGCTCCGGGCTCGCCACAGCCCGGCCCTGGACACCCCAAACGCGGCTCGCACCCGGGGCCACAGCGAGGGGCAGCGGCTGTGCCCAGCCCCGTCCCCCCCAAAAAAACTCCTGCCCATGGAAGCACGCAGCACCCAAAAACAACAGGGATGTGAGAAGGGAACCAGGGAGAGGATCACGCTGTTCCCACGGCAGCAGCAGCAGCAGCGGAGATGCTGATAGCGCCCGTCCGCCTGAGGAATGCCAGCTGACTTGGATTTTGTGCCCGGCTGGTTCAGGCCCAGAGCCAGGATCCATCCTGAGAAAAGGCCACACAGTACAGCAGAGCAGAGGGCTGAGCAACCCCGGGTAAAGATAGCTCGGCCACAGCCCGGGCTCTGAAAATCCTTTTCCATTGTGAGCATGCAAAAGCCTGGGGAGGATGAATTCAGCCTGAAAATATTTCACCCGCAGCAGCACAGCTCTTCCCAGAAGGAAAGAGGTGAAAAGAGGTGAAAAAATGGTCCTTGTACCTCCTGGCGTGCCACAGGTGTCTGTCTCCTGGCTGGGTCCTTGGAGCACGGGGAGCTGCACTTTGGGAGCTGTTTATACCATGGAAAGGCAGGACCCTGAGTCCCTGGCTCCCCTGGGTTCATACCTGGCTTGGGGATCCCAAGGGAGGTCCAGAATCACGGGATCACACAATAGCTTGAATTGGAAAGGACCTTAAAGCTCTTTGTGTTCCAACCCTGCTGCCGTGGGCAGGGACACCTTCCACTAGCCCAGGCTGCTCTGACGCTTGTCCAGTCTGTCCTTGAACCCTTCCAGGGATGGGACAACCACAGCTCCTCTGAACAACCCGTGCCAGGCCATCACCATCACACAGCCAGGAGCTGGCACAGCAGGCATCACCTCTGGGTGTGGATCATGGGGCAGGGAAGAACTTGGACACCCATCCCAGGCAAGGAAGAGGGACAAGTACCGGTGACACAGAGCACCCCAAGCGGGTGCCACCGGCTGGCACCAGAGCCCTCCACGCCTGGTCCCCAGCGTGTGACACCCACCGGCAGCGTGTGGCACCCGGCATCCAGCCCCGGTGCCTCATCCCGGGACAGGCGGAGCAGTCCAGCACGGTCGGTCCCTGGCAGCCGGTGCCCGTGCCCGCGTTCCCGGCGGTGCCGGTGCCGGCAGGTGCCGCTGTGGGCCGGGCCGGGCGGCGGGCAGGGGGCGGGGGGCGGTGGCGGGGGCCGGGCCGGGCCGGGCTGGGCGCTGCGTCCCTCCCGCCGCGGCTGCCAGCGCCGCCGGCACCATGGGCTGCTGCTGCCGCCTGCTCTTCCTCGCCCTCCTCCTCCTCCCGGCGGGTAAGTGCAGCGGGATGGGCGGGGGGCACGGCGGGGACCCCGCGGGGTCGGGCGGGGAGCGATGGGGGCCGCGGGGACGGAGGAGCCCCGCGACTGCCGGGGACAGCCCGGCTCCTTCCCGGACCCCACCGTGGGTCCCGCTCACACCCCCCGTGCGAGGGGGTCACCCCCAATGACGGCGGTGCGAGAGGTGTCGCACCCCGCTTTTCCTCACCCCTCGCCCCTCGGAGGGTCCCCAGCGGAGTCCCCGAATGCGCGAAGGAGGGCGGCTGGATGGGGCCACCGGAGCGTCCTCACGGCCACCCCCTGGCCGGGCTGGAGTCACCCCGGCCCCGCATGTCCCTTCCATCCGCGGTCGCTGCTTCCAGGGAGCTTCTGTGGCTCTCCCTGGCCTTGAGCCGAGCTCGCACTCCCCCAGCCCCTGGCGTCTCCCCCCGGCGGCACCAGCGTCCCCATCTCACAGAAATTGCCCGATTTCACACCTTCCCCCAGCGAGGCGCTCGGCGGGGACACTTCTGTCCCCGGCTGATGCGACAGCGAGCGCAGGTCACCCCTCCGCCCGCCCGCCCAGGCTGGGCTTTTAATAAACACGAGGAGCCGCCTGCCCGGGAACATGGAAAACACACTTGCATAACCGGGGACGCTGCGCGGGAGGAGAGAGAGATCCATCGGCTGGGATGTCACTGTCACATCGCTGCGGGCACAGCAGCACCAGGGGACGGGCCCGGGCCGGGCTGAGCTCCCCGGCACAGCCCGCAGGCAGCAGCAGCCGCGGGACCCCCAGCCATGACCCCGGACCTCGGGAGATCTTCCCTGGATCAGGGAGAGCCGATCAGGGAGAGCGGGATGGATAATTGTCCCTGAAAAAGGGGGATTTGCCAGCGAGTTCCTGATCTGTGCTTCCCGAGAAAATGCGTTCAGGAGGGATGGGGACGAGCATTGGGATGCTGGGGATGCTCTTTCTTCTCCCTCACGGGCCCAACTGTGCCCCTAAAGCAGGCGGTCCCTGCCGGGAGGCAGCCTTTGGGGGCGGGCTTTTCCCAGCGCCCCGGCCAAACCCAAAGTTGTTCCCACGACCATCCCTCTCCAAAGCTCCAACGCCAGCCAGGCTTGGCACAAGAAACAGGAAAGATTTCCCTGGACTCTGGTCCCACGTCCCTCAGGCTGCTCCCAAACAGCCCTCGAGCATCTTTCAGATGCTTTCTGCAACATTTTTGGCCTCACTGAAATAATTTTTTTAAAAAAGAAAAAAAAGTGTGTGTGTGCATGTGTATATATATCTATATCTATATATATATATATATATATAGATATCTTGCTTGGGAGGAAACACCAAGCACAATTTAAATTTGCTCCAGGCTCATTCTTCAGGACCAAATGACAGCCAGGATGTCACTGGCCAGGAGTGAAATAAGTCTGGACTTTACCTGGCCACGTAATGAAATAGCAGCGTCTCGCACAAGGAAGTTTTTATCCTGTTATTACTCCTTCCTCTGGATGGAAATCGAAACCTGTTTTCCTTTCCTGACCTGGTGCCCAGCCCCAGGCCCACTGTCCCCTCCTGCAGCTCCCCCTGTGCCCCAGCTGGGACATTTTTAAGTGCCTTTTAGAAGCAGATCTTGGTTCTGAGTGCTTCTTTGCGGAGGCTCTGGGCTGGGAGAGCTGCTTTTTGGGCTCTCGGAGCCTCATGGGCTGTTTAATTCTGCCACTGAGGAGGCAAATCTTCAACACTCTGCTTCCCCATGAGCTGAAGGACAGGGGAGCCAGGTAATTACCCCCTCTCCCAGCCCAAATGAGCAATCAGGCTCTAATACCAGAGGATGCTCCAAAATTCCTCTGCCAAGCCCAGTTGCTTCTCCCCCTGGGAGGGGCTGGAATGGGGCTGATGCACGTTGGAAGCTGCACCTGGAAGCACTAATTAGCAGCCAGCCAGGAAAATTATGGAACTGGGGAGTTGTCACCTGGGCAGAGCTGCTTCTTGCAAAAGTCCTGGCTGCCTCCAGAGCCATATCTAAGATATGGGAAAAATATTGTGAGGCGTCCCCAGCAGGCAGGTCCATCTGCCAGCTCCCAGCCCCAGGAGACAGCAAAGAGCATCCCATGGGATCCCTTATTCCCCTTCCCCAGGGGAAATCAGCACAGCATAACACTTGTTGGCATGTTTCAAGAATATAACTAGAAATTCCTAATGTATTTTTTATTTAAACAAGCAATACATCATTTTAGAAGGAGCTGGAGCTGTCAGCTACTGCTTTCCACCCCAGGTCCTCACCAGATACCTCTGGCTGTACAGGCTGACAGGGGTTTTTGCCACTCTCAGGAGGAAAAAATCACCTAAAAATTCCTCTTCACCTCCTTTTCTGCTATAATTTCATTGCAGCATCAGCATCAAGGGCTTAAGGGCTGAATAACTGAGCAACATTTAGTTTTGGGGGGGAATCACTACCTTTTCCTTGGCTGGAGCCTGGGTTTGTTGTGCCCCCAGCAGTCCTCACCGCTGGGTTGGGACCATGGGGCAGGGAAGAACCTGGACACCCACCCCAGGCGAGGAAGGAGGGAGTGTGCAGCATGCAGGGAGCCATGTGAATTTAACAAAAAAAAAGCTATTTTCAGCTGGGAAGGATGCTGGAGCTTCCCTCCTGCCTCCTCAAGGGGACTCTGCCCATGGCAGCATTCCTCAGGCTCTGGAGGGTGTGCAGGCCTCATGGCTGGGACAGATGGACGCATGGACACAGGGATTTCTGCTGTGCAGCTGTTTCTCTGAGCTACAGAAAGCCTCAGAGCAATTAGAGCTCAGGCACTTAACGAGCATGCAGCAGAATAAAACTAATCATGCAGGAAGCCAGCTCGGCCTGCCAGTAAATCACAGCAACTGCACATTTATTGGATCTGATGGCCCTGGCTGCCTCTCACGGGCAGGGAAGAGCTCTGCCTTTTACCTGGTGCTGTTTCTGGCCTCTGCTTTTCTCCCTTGGTGTCCTCCTCCTCTCAGAACTGGTCTCAGACCATCTCCAGCAGAGCCTGGCACTGAAAACAGAGGGGACAGAGCAGCAAGGAGTGGAGCAGCACGTCAGGCAGGGGTGCTGCTGCTGGCACTCACAGGCAGTGCTGGAGCTTTGCTGCACACCTCCAGCTGGAGATGCCCACAGGAGCCACCATTTCCCATCACTGATCCAGCTGGGTGGATCAAAATCCCAGTGAGTGTGAGACACAGCTCAGAGCCGGCAGAACTGCTCCCAGACCTCCCCATCACCCATATTTCTTTGGGATAACGAGGCAAGAGTCCACAACAGAGCCCCAGAAGGACAAAGACACAAGTTAAAGGCCCAGAGCAACCACCACATCCTCTGTGCTCCTGCCCCCACATCAGCACAGAGCTCAGTCACAGCCCTGTGCACTGCAGGTGGGGCCCCCAGCCAGGGAGATTTGAACATCCCCAGATCCCAAAATGCATGGGGACAGGGAAGGAGAGGCAGTGCAGGGCTGAACAGCTGGAAAAACTCGTTGAACCCAAAGCAAAAACCAGTTTGGCTTAGTCCTAGCTGATGTAAGGAGAGCTTTTGCCATCCACAGCCAGATGCTGCTGGTTTTACAGCAAAGAAATACAATGAAAATCATACCTGAGCATTAACAAGGGGGAGGGGAACTTCCAAAAATCAGCACAAAGTTATGGGAATCCCCAGCCACAGAAACCAAAGCTGAGCCAACGAGGTCACAGGCAGGAAATCCTTACTTATATTTACATCTAGATTGTTTTACTGCTCTGCATCACTTAACCTGGTGACAGCACAAGGCACGCTCAGGGGACTCAGGGCTGTTCTGTCATCAGCATTTGGTGAGGAGCAGCATGATACAGGACTGGCAAAAGGTATTTTTTTGCTCACTCTTGTGATTAAAACCCGGTTTCTACAGAGCTTTGCTTTAAAGAGCAGTGATGCTTACCTATGGCCTTGGTCACTTGTGTTTTCTGGGTGTTTGCCAGCTGCTAAACTGGCACAGAAAGTGGCCCCCAAGCTGGCTGCACCAGAGTGTGTCCAGCAGCTCTCCTTGTTTTCCTGCTGCTGCTGTATTTCTTGTTCAGAGCGGCTGGTGAGATTCCTTGTGTAAGGGCAGGCAGAACAAACAACACCCATGTTGTGGAAACTTGCATTATCCCTTTGTCCTTGGCTGCTGGGGGAGCATCCCTGGCTGCAGCTGGGGCCTGGGGGCTGTAGGTAATTGGGGCTGCTCCTGGGGTCTCCTGTCGCTGTGTCAGAGGCCCTGAGCTCTGCAGTGAGGCTGGCTAAAAGCTCCATCTCTGCCTTTATCAGTGGATGTTTGTTTGCTGCTCCGGCCTGATGTCATTCACTCAGGCTGGAGATGTTCTCTGGTGGCTTTTAGGCTGCCTTTCAGCTGGCAGAGAACTTCAGGATCTGCTGCAATGGCTTTTGGAGTGCCTGGGAAGTGCATCCTGGAGAGGCTGCCAGCCCAGGTCAAGCAGCTCTTTCCCAAGAGGAGCATGAACATCACTCAGCTCCTGCAAGGGCAAGACCTGCCCTTCTCTGTGCCTTCCAGGAGCCGGGAGAGCATCCTGGCAGTGGGAGAGGGAGATAATTCACCAGGAGAAGAGGGATAATTCCTCAGGTTGGCATGTGATTAGGGCTAATATCCCCCTAAGAATATCCCCTAAGAATATTCCTTTCCCCTAAGAATATCCCCTTCTCCTAAGAGCAGGATATTAGATTGACACAGCTTTGGGGTCTTCTTTCCCTGGCTGTTTTCTGTATTCCCAGTGAGAAAATCCTAGGAAAAGGACTTTGCAAAGCTGCTGTGGGGCCCTGGAGTGTGACACTGCTGCTTTCCTGGGCAGTCACCTCATCCTGGGAGGCCCCCGTGTTGCTCCCTGATGGATTCCAGGAGGGTGGTCAACTGCCCTAAGTGAATTAGATGAGCAAATTCCTCAGGGCTGAGCTATGCTGGGCATCCTCTGGGAGCTGACATCCCTCAGTCCCTCTGACAGCCCCTGCTGGAGGAGTTTCAGCCTCCCAAGCCACATGGTCCTGTGTGAAGTGCTGTGGCTGTCTGGTTTGTCCCTTGTCCCCCAGCAGCAGCTCCTGCAAACCAGGTGTTGGTGAAACCAAGAAAAACTCTGCTTGGCTTTTGTTTTCCTTTTGGTTTTCCCTTTCAGATGCATTGGGGAGAGGACAGGATGTGCACACAAGGCTGCCCACCAGCTGGGTGCAGGGACATGGATGGAGACACATGGAGCACCAGCCAAGGAAGCCCTCAACCCTTTTGTCCCTCAATCCTAACCCCATTCAGAAGCAGCCTGTGTTGCCTCTGGGATCATGGCAGGGCTTTCCTGGGGTTACCTCCTCTGGGTGGATCCCAGATCCCACATGGAGGAGGCAGGGGACAGCACAGCACAGGCACGGGCTGCTCGTAGGGAGAGGCAGGGGATACCAGGGCTGAGCTGAGCTTCCTTGCTCTCCTGGAAAGAGTCCCTGTGACTTGTGACCTCCTTGGCTGGGAGCTCTCAGCCAGCAGCCAAAGATTGTTCCTGCCTGCAGTTCTGGCTCAGCCTCCGAATTTATGCCCCTCAGATGTTATCGGAAAGTTCCTGACTCATCCCGGCCAGCAGCACTGCCAGCTCTGGTCTGCCTCCAAAGTTCAGGCAGATCATGGGAGCTCTGCTGACCCCAAGCACTTAGGGACATCAGGGTGGCTTTGCAGGGAGGTAGAAAGCTGCCTGTGTCCCTGAGGGACCGGGAGCATCTGCACTTACAGAGGTAACAAACTCCTGAGGTCCCGGCAGGATCCTGCTTGCTGGGCTGCAGAGGCTGGCTGGGACCTGCTGGAGAAATCTGAAAGTTCCAGGTGTGAAAATATTGACATATAGATGGATTCTGAACCGTGTGGTGTGAAGGGTCCTTGGTCCAGGACTCGCTGCAGTGACCAGATTCCAGCTTGTCGTCCCTCTCCTCTTCCCTCTTCCATGGTTTGTGTCCTCGGCCTGAGCAGGGTGACAGCTCAGAGCCATCTCCCAGTGCTTGTCCTCAGGACAGCAGAGCTGCCATGGCCTCAGTCGCTCCTCCAAGACCCCTTTCCTTGGGAAAATGGGGTCCTTCCACATGGGTATCCACAGGACCAAAAAAAGCAATTTTGGCTGCATTAATGAGTCCCTGCTCACCAGTGCCAGATCCCATTGTTCCTGCAGACAGGCACTGCATGTTTCTGTCCTCCCCACTCCTGATTAGTTCATTGCAGCTGGAGTGAGCTCCTGCTCTGCCCAGTGCTGGGCTTGGGATGCTTTCTCTGGGGGATGTAAATAAATGAATACATGGAATTAAAATGCCTCCCCATGTCACACAGTGCTGGCACACTCTTCCCTCATCCCAGCCACACTGAGGAGGCCAGTGCTGGACCCGTGCTGAGTTTTCCCCCCCTGGAAAGGGGAGAAAAAGCCCCAGCAGTCAGCTGGTGGGGACAGAGGGAGAAATGACTCATCCTCGTGCTAAGAAATGGAGACGAATGAATGCACAAGGAAATGGGGGGAGAGGAGAAAGAGATGTCTTGTGTTATCACTCCCAGCTGCACAGGGGCTGCTCTGAGGAGGAGCTGCTTCTCCTGCTGCTGGCAGCAGATGGAGGGGGTGATTGGAGTGATAGGGGTATCCCAAACTGGGATAGCTGGTCTGGTTTCAGCCTCACCTCTAGGTACCAGCAGTATTTCCCCTCTCTTCATTTTAGATGGCTCTCTCCACTTTAAAAGTTATTTCCAGGTGAATTTCCAAGCCCTTTAGCACTCTCCCAAGCACCAGCTGGCCCCAAGGATTGCTCTGTCACTAACATTTCTTTGTCTCACTCCTAGGACTGGGCCATGACTCCCCAGAGCCACCCCTCATCCCCATCCACCCCCCCTTGCTCTGGGGGGGTGTCCCAGTGAAACCAGACTCCAGGGATGGCCCCACACTGGCTCCAGGCCAGCCCCAGCTGCCCTTGTCCACGGGACCCTCCAGAGATGGGACACCCTCCAGGCCCCTGGAGGGGGATGGCCACAATGCCAGCACCCCGGTGGCAGCACTGCCCCCTGCTCCTGTCCCTGTGAGTGCCATGGCCACAGCAGAAGGTCCCTCCGTGGCCTCCAGCCCCAGCTCGGTGCCAGCCGCCCCGGAGGCTCCCCGGACAGCAAACCCTGCCAGCCTGGCAAGAAGCACCCTGGATTTGGGGGCAGCTGCCAGCCCCACAGAGCTGGCTGTGCCATCACCTGCCCCCTCCCTTCCCAGCAGCCAGCCCACCTCACCCCCCGGGACGGGCCTGTCCCCGACACCTGTCCTCGTGAGCCCGGCCGTGACCCAGCCACCACTGCTGGCCAAGGATGTCCCTTCCCTGGGGACACTGGCCATGGCACCGAGCCTGGCCACGGAGCCAACATCCCCCCCAGTGACTGTGATGAGCCCCACGGAAGCCCAGGCCACGGCCTCAGAGAAAACCACCGGGGTCACCATGGAGGAGGTACCACGTGCCCTGAGTGCAGGTGAGCTCTCTGTGTGCACACAGAATGTCAGGGTCCTCAGGTAGGACAGGCAAACCCCCAAATTGGAAGGGAAGAGGTGCTCAGCTTCCTGAGAGCATCACTCTGCAAATCTCCTGGAGCAGGCCGTGTCATCTGATGCACTGGCAGAGCCTGGGAGCGGTGGATAACAAATCTCAGTTGCCTGGAGATGTGGATAAAATGCTCAGTTCTAAATTTGACTTGAACCACTTCAGGATGAGAAGAAACAAGTGGCTGGATGGTGGGTGCAGCCTGAGTTAGGATGGTGTAGGTTTTAATTTTCCCTCCTGGAGCCCTCAGGAAGCTGACACGAGCTTCTCCCTGTCCCCTTGTGCAAGCACAGGCAGCTTAAAAGTGCTCCACGTGGGTGGAAAAGGGGAGACCTGGAGCATTTCCTAGCCTTAGCTCAGCACTGGATGCTCCCAGCACTGGATGCTGTGCTGGGAGCAGCAGCAAAGAGTGAATCCACAGTGCCCAAGCTGTCTTTCATCCCACACATACCTGCTCTGCACTTATGGCAAGGGGTTCATTGCCAAGATAAAGGGGGGCCCGGCATCCCCTTTGGGAAGCAGTGAGGGAATATTCCCCCCATCAGAGATGGCTGGGAGCAGATGGGGTGTGGGATGTGTGCCAAGGAGCTGGGACTCATGAGGGAGCTGAACCCTGAACCCTTTCCTTTCTGGTGTTTCCTGCACAGGCAGCATTGTGGCCATAACCGTGACGGTCATCGTGGTGGTGGTGCTGGTGTTCGGGGCAGCTGCCTACCTCAAGATCAGGTAAGGCTGGTTTTGGGGTGGCCCCCCCTCCCTGAGGCTCCCTCTTACCATCACTAGGATGATGCCAAGTGGCAGGAAGATGCTGCCCCAGGTGTGGCAGGGCAACGTGGAGCCTCTGGTGCCAGCAGGGCTCCGTTCCTCACCACTCCTGTACTGGAAAGCAGAGTTTGCATCCCTCATTTTGCAACAGCCCTGCTCAAATGCCAGGGATGCTGCTCAGCATAGTCATATCCAGTAATTATCCCTTGGGAAAGCTGGGACAATAAACAGCAGCAGAGCCCAGTGCTGAGCATCCCTAATGAGCCTTTGCTGACAGTTGAGATGAGCAAAGGTCTGGTTTTAATTCCCTGGCTAGGCTCATTCAACAGGGGCAAAATTCAATCTGGGCTTCACTTCTCCTAGTCCTTCCTCTCAAAACACCCCAAAGCTTGACCTAGGGAGCCTTTGCATTAATATTTCTTCATCCCATTGCAAAATAAGTAACAAATCCTCAAAGTAACCTTGGGTTTTCTCTCCCTGGCAGGCACTCCTCCTATGGAAGGCTTCTGGATGACCATGACTACGGCTCCTGGGGCAACTACAACAACCCCCTGTACGATGATTCCTAGCAGGGATGAAGCCAAAAACCCCAAAAACCTTTAATTTATAAGTAAGCGCTTCTGCAGCAGAGCATCCACTGTCGAGGAGATGCCGGGCACGGAGCCCCTGCCTCAGGCAGGATCACCATGGGGCTGCTGGATGGCAGGAACTGGAGGGCAGTGCTGACAATAAACCTCAATTTTGGCCTTTGAGCAGGAAACCAGGTCCTGGGGCAGGCCAGCCACTTGTTGGAGACAAGGGAAGCCAAATTCCCCAGGGGGAAGGGATGGGGAGGTCAAGGGAGAGGATGGAGGTTCAGCCAGTGCTGTGGCATCCTTTGAAATGCTGCTGCTCTGTGATCTGGGGGGGGAGTGGGGGGCTGCTGAGCCAGAGCCAGCAGTGTGCCAGGGTCTCCTGTGCTTTCACATGTCCCTTTCCCTAAAATCACTTCCCTGTGTTGCCCTGCTACGAAATCCTTTGCCTTGTCTCCCCAGGAACCATGAACAGCTATGGGGCTGCTCAGTCACTGCTCCCTTTCTTTTCCTGCAGGTGCTTCCTTGCACAAGTTCCTAATTTAATTTTTTCCATTTAATTGTGGGGGGTTTGGTCCCAAAAGCAGCCCAGGAGCCCACAGGAAGATGCACTGACCATCCATTTCACACATGTGGCTGCTCACTCCACAGCTTTGTTTCCATTCCTCAAAAAAACTTGGCTGCTAAAATACAGCGGAGTGTTCTTTTCATCCCCAACTTGTGTTCAGCTTTTAGTGTGGGAAGGCTGGGGGTGGCTGATGGCAGAGCTGGTTTGGGAAGGGGATGCTCAGCAGCTTCTCCCTCTGGCTAAATTCCCTGGCAGTGGAAAGCAAAGCCCTCAGACCTTGATGAAAACAAGAAAATAAACCTGTGACTGGTTGTTGCACCTCTCAGACACAGCCAGCCTGGAAAACTATTGGGCCTGGGAGCATACACAGGGAAGCACAGGCCCTGAACATGCTTAGGATGAGTAAAATTCTTTTTCATCTTTTTGGCACCCAAGAAGCAGCAAATTAGGCTACCTTGGCTAAGAAAAACCACAAACTGAGTTAAAAAACCACCACCCTTCTTCTCTGGAAATAAACTGGGCATTGTGCTGCTGCTGCCAAACTGAGGGAATAAAAGGAGAAGAAAAGCCATCCCCTTCAATTAAAAGTATATAACTCCAAGGGAGTAAATTCCTTTTTCATAAAGGAGGACAGAAATGGGGTGTCAGCTTTCCTGCTCAACCCTGTGCCTGGATCCTCAAAATGAACTACTCTCTCTTACCCTACATTGCAAGGAAGAAGCTATTTTTGGGGATATCCCGGGGTGAAAACAGATTCCTCACCTCTCTGGGACAAGACACCATCCCCAGTGACATGGATGATGTGGACATGGACGATGTGTTTCCATCTGCAGGACTGTTTGCCAGCACGAGCCAAGGCACAGGGCAGCCTAGGGAATAACAGATGCCTTTGGCAAGTGGAAAAAGCACTTTATTCTGGGGGGTAATGCCCTCAGAGGGAGGATGCCTGTGTTCCAGGCAATGCCTTCAAACACCCCTCTCAAATTCCCACCTCAGACCCTCTGGCTTACTGATGGGTTTCTATCCCACACCAGTATAGCAGGGGAAAATGGGGAAAAGCAACCAGGACATGCCCTAAAAAAGGCCCTTTTCCTTCTCTTTTAAAAACCAACAGGGTTAAACCTGCTACCAACTTGTTTCATTTGCAAAACAAGCCAATTCCCATTTTTCCTGAAGGCTCCCACAAGCCTGGCTCAAGTCCACCTCCTCCCATCTCCCTCGCCTCCCTCCCTCCCCCCTGCCCCCCTTTGGCTCCATTTCATCTCAGAGCTATTTTATTTATACAGAAAGAGAAATAGCTGGCATAGCTCCATGGTGTGGAACTTCCCATCCCCTGAGCCTGTTCTGGCTCTCCCACCCTGCCCTCGCCGGCTGGGATCTTCATCCCAGCTTCCAGACTCCCTCTGGCCTCCCTAATGATGCTCTTGTTTGGTGAATATTCCCATGCATCAGCCACCCTTCCAAGCCTGAGTTACCAGAGCGAGTAGCTCCTGGTTGCAGGTGTCAGAAGCCAACTCCAGCCAGGACCACGAAGGAGAAAATCCAAGGAAACCACCCCATTTCCAGCATGGAGGTCCCAGCACACCCCTGGGCTGAGCCTTGCAGAGACAGATGCTGCCCCTCTGAGGTATAAACAGTACAACATGAGGAGCCTTTCCCTCACTTCCAGCTGGAAATTCAAAAACAGATGGATTCCCTGCAGCCAGGCAGGAGCGACACTGCCCCAGGAGGGGGTGGCTGAACAGAGGTTTAACACAGAACACCCCCACTTCCATCCCAAGTAACACTATTGGAGCAAGCCAAAACCACACCAGAGGCACCAAACCAGCCCAAAACTGGGGACCCCAACCAGCTGAGCCCCTCAGCCCTGCACTGTTCCACTTGCTGCCTCTCCATGTTCCGCAGAGCTCGGCAGGCCCTGCCTTTATTAATAGCTCTGTGACCTTGTGTGCAGCTCCTGAGCCTGCTGGAACTCTACTTTTTTTCCCACAAAGCAGCAATAATCCCTTCTACTCCTGATTCTGGCCTGGAAGGGTGAGCAAGGCAGGATTCCGGGTGCCAGGGAGTAAGGGAGCTTGAGCTGCTGCTTCCATCCCTGGATCATCCCAGTGCCCTGATCCCAGCATCCTTCCTGCTCCCATCAGCTGCACCTCCATGGACAGGGCAGCAAAGCTCCCCAGAGCACCTTCCATCCCATAAAGCAGCTCCTTGCCTGTCTCTATGCCCCTTCCATTGCCTTTTATCCCCTGAAAATGCCATTCCTTTTCCTGCCCTGCCATTTATTCCCTGGTAAAGGGAGTTAAGGGCTCGGTGCCAAGATAAACAGACCAAACAGTGGTTCAGCATTCCCTCAGCATTCCCATTCCCTCGTGCTTTTTCCAGAGGCAAACACCAAAAACAGGGGAACGAAAGGTTAAAATCACCTGGATCCTGTACCATGAATAATTTTCCTTCCCAACACCAAAGCTCAGCTCAACTTAGAATTTTCTTTCAGCCTCCTCTTGTGGTTGGAACCCAAACAAGAATATTTCCAATTAATAACTGGAATAAAATTAGCTTCCCATTTAACAGCAAAGCTGTTTGGTTGTGGACTTGACCAGCACAGTTTTACCATTAGCCACACACTCCAAGGCTACTTGGCCAGAGTTTTCTGGGATAACAACTCCTGCAGGCTGGTGGGAGCCCCACTGGCACTTCTGGGCTTACCTGTGAGCAGGTCTCCATACAGGGAAGGAGGTGGAGTCACCAGGTGCCAACCAAAGCAGCAGGGAGTCTTGCTTGTACCACAGAACAAAAATATGAAAACACAGGAGCTTGTAAAAAATAAAGCACTGATCTTCCTGACAGTGGCTCGGGCCTCACACCTCCCCATATCCAACCATTTTTCAGCACTGAATCATGGTTTAAACTCAGCTGGGAATTTCCAGGGAGTACGTGTGTGAAAGAAGAGCACATCACGCTCAGTGTAGTTTGTTTATTTTAATAGAGACCTTTTTTTTACATTTATTTATAGCAGTGAGAAAAGTGCTCCAGAAAAAGATACCCCAGTCAAGGCAAGCTACAATAGCTACCATCCAAATCCTAAATATTCCCTACAGAAAATGGGCACTGCTGGATTAAGAAAAGCTCATTTTACAACAGAACAAGTTAAAAATGAGTAGTTATAACCTGAAGAGGAACCAATCCTTTTTTACATCTTATTACTGTAAAGTATCTGCATGTGAAATTCACAGAGGACTTCCTGCAATATTTAAGACTGCAAAACAGCTCAGGCAGGATGTTACATGAAAGAGGGTGGAGTTGGGGTTTTTATTTCTTTCAAAAGGCAGCGGTTCTCCCCCCAGTGAAATTCTACCATGAACAAACACCAAAAAAATCACAGAAAACTGGACCCTGGACTGCTTTATTTCAGTGAAAATCCCAGGCTCAGCCTGATGTGGAGGATGTGCTTCACTTTAGGTACTTAACCAGCAAAATCTAGCTATGTACGAGTCTCAAACCCCACACCACCTTAGCCTTTGCCAGTGAACAGTGTAAAACGAGGAAGAAACAGGGAAAAAGTGACTGCAGCTGGCAAAGGAATCTGAGCAGAGGGACAGCAGCGAGTCAGGATGGGTGTCTAGGGGGAAAAGGGGGGCTTTGCACCTGGATCTTCCAGCTGCTCATTCCAGCAGGCAGGGCAATTCCCTTGTTTCAAGGGAATTCTGTACACACAGGTGACAGTGCGCAAAGGGAGCCGAGGATGCCACCCCTGCCTGCTGTCCCTGTGGACACTCATCATTCCCAGGAGGCACACACGTCATTCCCAGGGAACACTACATCCCCACACACTGCCCTGTGGATGCTGGCACTAGCCCCAAAGGCCTCTCAAAGCAACCCATTTTCCCCCAGAGCTGCCTCTCCACCTCCCTTCCCCTTCAGCTGCCCCCAAACTCCTCCTGCCGCTGCGCCGGCTGCTCGCCACATCTCCTTGTGCTGCTCCTCTCACCTGCCTCCTCCTTGACACAGCACAGGACTCCTTGAACTGGGAAAACTGGAATTTTTACTGACACAAGAGTTGCTTTGTTCCCAAACCAGTCTCTGCCGGGGCCCGGCTGAGCGCGCCCCAGTCACTGCTCCTCCAAGGACAGCCGGCACCGCCCGTCCTGGGCCGTGTTGTAGGACTCACAGCTCTGGCACTTCATGCCCAGCAGGTGGAACTGCACCGTGGAGCGGGCGTTGCAGTCGTTGCAAAGGATCTGCAGGCACACAGGGGAGGGAGGGAGAGGCTGCAGCACCAGCGGTGGGTGTATATAAACAGCAATTACAACATCCTACGCCTACACGTGACTGCTCCTCAGCATTCCCCACCCCTTGGTCTGACTCCTGATCCAGCACGCATCCCTAGTGCCCTCTGCTGCCAGGAACTCCGAGGCACAGCTCTAGGGAAGTCAGGCAAGGGTGCCCTCTTACCTCCACCATCATGTTCTGGTACTCGGTGGGCATGGGGGTCTGTGCCACCTCGTTGTCCAGCTGGCGCCAGTACCTGGTCATGTCCAAGGCCGAGTGCATGCACAAGGGACACCTGTAGCCTCTGGCAGAAAGAGGGGGACATGTCTCAATCAGAAGGTGAAGTGACAC